AACTGACACATACCAAAGAAAACTCAAAATTCATGTCATAACTAGAAAGGCACAATAAAAAAATAATAATTTGTATTAATATTTCCAAAGTGTACTCAGCAATGAAATGTATGTACTTTTGACTCAAAGAACAGGAGTCAGCAAACAAAAAGCCAAGCAATATGAAGAGTTTGTGCTGTTAAAAAGAATTTTAAAGAACATAACATTACCGGGGGCTAGAAGCTAGTAAAATCATCGAAGTATGTAATATGAAAAACCTGAAAGGTACCAGGATTTGAGGCAAAGCAAAAGGATTAAGATAGAGGAACCTGACAAGTTGGGTCTAAATGCAAGCTAACAGATTCCATGATGTGAATCTGACTTGAAGCAAAGCATGTGTTCCCTGACAAATCCCAGAGGCTACAGGCCCTGGTTTCAGGAGATGGTCACCCTGAGGCAACAATGAAGTTAGGTGAGTCCTTTACATTTACCTGGGAAGTGGACAATTGCTAATCTTCACTGAGCACTGAGCACAGACCAGGCACAGGTCCCAGCATTTATAACATATTTTCTCATTTAATCCAACAATTCCTCTAAGGTAAACAATAATACTATCATTCCCATTTTACATTCAGGTAAGTAAACAGAAGCCCACTTGCCTCAGGTTACACAATCGAAGTGAAACAAATTACAGTCTAATTCCGGCCAGTGCACCAAGCCTCTTAACGCTGTCATTTAATATTATAGGGGAAATTTTGTGTTTCATTGGAAAATGATGCATTTTCAAACGAGTACACCCTTCCAATTCTGGGTTTAGGAGGACTTTGCACCTTTCCTTGCCTTTGAGCTATTTTACAACTTTGTAAGTTGTAGAAAGCTGACAGGAATGTGGAATAATTCTTGTCTCCAGACATGTACATAATTTCTGTCCAGTGGAGGTTCAGTTGCCTTCCCTAGGTCACTGGGAAAGAAGCCAGTTTTGTCTCCATTTGCACATTCTTCTCAGTATTCCTTCTCTGTCAATGTTTCTCTTCTTTGGATTGTCCTCTGAACTAATTGTAACGTACTATGTTTCCCTCCTTAACAATGTGCTAAATAAAATCTTTACTCACTTTATGCTTATGTATGAGAGTCATGGGTTTACCATAAAAAAATTATCCTTTAACAATATTTATTAAACCTGATTATTTTAGTATCTAACCTGTCCTGTCTTTTTGTTTTTTGTGTTTTTTTAAGATTTTATTTTAAAATAATCTCTACACCCACCATGGGGGCTCAAACTCATAACCCAGAGATCAAGAGTCACATGCTCTATGGACTAAGCCAGACAAGTGCCCCTACTTTGGTTTTTAAGTACCTTCACTTTTTTTAGACACCAAATGTAACACTTCAAATCCTCACTATAAATATATAAACAATAAAATATATAAAACAATGTAAGTAATTGTAAACAATGAAAAAATATATACAGGAGACATCTAAAGTTCCTATAATCCCAGCTCCTCATGGAAAATTGCTATGGGCAAGTTTGGTACATAGTTGACCAGGTATTTTTCGGTGCTTGCACTATGATATTTCTGTGTAAAATGTTTCTCTCTATATAATTATTAACAACGACAACAACAAATGCCATTTTTGTGATGTTCTACAACCTGCTTTTTTTCTGACTGAATGAGTGACTGTCCATGTCGATCTGCATCTCCTTAGAACAGCTTCACAATAGACCATGGTATTAATTTTTTTCAATTAATCCCTTACTAGTGGAATTTTAATTGCTTTCTTATTCTCTATTAAAAACAGTGCTACAGTGAACATCCTGCTCCATCCATCTTGCTGCTCTTTCTCTTTTTATAAATTAACTACCTCCACAAGCTCTATTAATATTGTCAAGCATGTAATTTATAATTCCTCAAGTTACTGCTTCAGTGTCTAGTTAGTTTGGGTATATTTAAGCAAGTTTTCTCCACTTCTGTGTGCATTGGTTTCCTGGTGCTGGGGGTCCTTGGGCAATGCTGATGGAGAACCCCTGCTGAATGTGATAAAAATAGTGCTAAGATGGTAAACACGGTTTCAATAGGCAAGTTCATTTCACATGGAAAACACAAAATTTTTCAAAGCCTAGACTAAACCAGGAATTAAAATTAAATTAATTAGAATGAATTTATTAAAATTCTTTTTAATCATTATGAAATGGATGCCATTTATTAGAGCATACTAATAAGATTCTAGGAGAAGTATGGCTTGGATTTATTATCATTACTATAATATTTCAGTTATGGGTGTTTTTATCATAGGAAATGTTTTTCTGTGTTAAGACAAGCCAGGGTCGGGGCACCTGGGTGGCTCAGTTGGTTAAGCCACTGCCTTCGGCTCAGGTCATGATCCTGGAGTCCCGGGATCGAGTCCCGCATCGGGCTCCCTGCTCGGCGGGGAGTCTGCTTCTCCCTCTGACCCTCCCCCCTCTCATGTGCTTTCTCTCTCTCAAATAAATAAATAAAATCTTTAAAACAAAAAAAAAGACAAGCCAGGGTTTTGTATATATACCATTTTAACGAATGCATTGTTCTAGATATTGTATTCAACAAATATTAAATGAGCTCATGTTTATATACACAGCATCCAGAACAGGCTCGAACACATGTTAGCTACCATATGTGTTGGCTTTTTGAGATGGGGTATATTGTAATGGTTAAGGGTGTGACTCTCAAGCGACACCTGAGTTCACATTTTGGCTGCATCACTTAATGGCTTTGTGTTCTTGGGCAAAAGTCCGCTTAATTTTCTGTTTCTCAATCTCTAATCTATATATAACAAAAGGATAATGATAGTAAATCTCTTAAATCCTTCTTTAAGAATTTAAAGGGTAAATATATGTAAAGTGTTTTGAACAATGCAATTCTTATTGAGTCCTTGCTATGCTATGCCCTGGGGAAGTAAATTAGGCAAGACAAAAACCCTTGTCCTCAAGTCGGTTACTACAGTTTGAGTCTAAAGACAGATGAAAATAGTTTGGATTTACAATTTGATGTAACTGAGTAGACTAATTACAGGGCACAGCGAGAACATGTGGGGAGGGCCCTAGTTGTGAAGAGTGTAAGTTTCCTAGAGGCAGAAATGGCTAAGCTAACACTTGAAGAACAGGGAGGCGAGAGGAAGAGATTTTTAGATGGGCATAGCAAAGTCAATCTCTTTTAGGTACATTGGGGAACTGCAAGCAGTTTGGTAGGGCTGAGTCAGAGAGTGGTGTGTGGGGGATAAGGAGACATGATGCTAAATTGATGGGTAGAGGCTAGATGAGAGAAACAGTTGGCCATGCAAATGAGTTTAGACTTTATCCTGAGGCCAGAGGGTAAGACATCCAAAAGGTTTTATATACGCAAATGACATAATTGGATAAGAGTACTAAAAATAGTAAGTCTGATAAAAGGGGTAATGGGGTAATACCTTTGGATATTTAAAAGGTAGAATGGACAGAATTTGCAGCTGCCTGCCTTATGTAGGCAGTGTAGCACACGGTTAAGGGTGTGGCCTTCCTGACCAGACTGATGGGCTACACATCTAAACTTTTCCATTTATTGTGTGACCTTAGGCAAGTCACTTCAATGCTCTGAACTCCAGGCTCTATAAGATTGGCTAATTGTCACCTAACTACAGGTTTCTTTTATCAAAGAAATTAAATGACATAACGAATACAATGAATACAATGTGTTAGTATTAGATCAGTAAATATATACAGTAACTGAATAGTACTCAAAATTAAAAAAAAAAAAGCAATATAGTTAAGTGGTCAGGCTCTAGTCAGACTCAGGTTTAAATCCCTACTCTGCCATTTACTAGCTGTGTGGCCTTGAGAAAGTTACTTAACTTTCCTGTGCCTCAGTTTTAGTATTTGTAAGATACTGAAAATAATAGTGCCTCTCATAGTGTTTGGTAAGGAAGACATGAGATAATTCAGGTAAAGTGCCAGCACATTAATTCATTTAAACAAATATTTATTGAGTGTATGTACCAGGCACTATTCTAGGCCCTGAGGATAGATAGACATAGTAAATAAAACCAATCAAAACAAAACAAAACCTGCCCTCATGGAGCTTAACTATAGTAAACATCCTGCACATAGGAGTGTTATATATGTTAGAAAGCATCATCCTAAGACAATTTCTGTGGTCCTAATCTAAATTGTTTCTATAAGTTTTATTGCAATAAAAGAGTAATATTCCACAAATATTTATAGAAGTAATAGGAGGACATAAAGGCACAGTCCAAGATAACTCAGACATTGTAAAGACGCCAGAGATTGGGAAGGGGAAACACCAATTTGAGGAAAGATCTGCTGATAAAGTTATGAATGCATTACCACCCTCTTTTGTCCAGGAAAAGCTGTGAGAATGTGCCAACACCTGCCTGAAATCTTCCTAAGAAGGGGTGATTATAGCCTATTTGCTTAAACCACGTTAAAACATTTGACGAACTTGGAAGAAAATAAACATTAGTATCCTCCTTATAAGATAAGGTATGCAAACACCAAAGAGATTCTATTAGTTCAAATGCCTTTACTGTCAACAGAATCTCGGAGGGTTTTGTTCTCCCAACCTTTGAACAAAGACCTGATTAAGCATGGTGCAGCGTAGAATAGCGAGGCCTTGATCCTCCGTTGCTAAGGCAACCAACTCGCCGCCAGCCCCTAAGAGACGGAACCTGAAACCTCAGTGACCCAGGAGGGTGGACACCTTCGTTCTGTTTGTGTACCTGCGTGTGTGTGTGTTACGGATGGGAATAGGCAGGGCATACAATTGTCAATGGGGATGCTAGATACGTCGCCTCTGTTCTCGGTAGAGGGCGCAACAAAAGCCAAGTTCCCCCAGAAACAGCAACCCTTCTTTCGCGCCTCACCGCCACAAAGGCGCCCACGACTTCGTTTCCCAGTTTACTTAATTCTGGCCGGAAAAGCCCCGCCCCCCCGGGGGTGGAAACAGCCCCTCCTCCCAATAGCTTCTCGCGATCGTTAGACGGAGCGAGCTATGGTTAACTTCCGGCCGCGACACCTTCAGCTCTTCGGCGATTGGCCCATTTCCACGGTCTGTGCTTAACTTCCTGTCTGCACGTGTGAAGCGGCCTAGGGAGGCCGCGGAGAGCCGGGCCTTACCGGCGTTCGCGTGGTAGCGAGTCACTTCTCCGGGACGAGGGGAGTGCAGCCGCCGGCCTTCTCTGGGGTGAGCGCCGCACGGCTGCAACATGGTGAGCAGGTCTCGTTGTCTCGGGGACGAGGCGCTCTGGTTTTGCTGACGGCCAGGCCGGTTCCTTTGGTGCCAGTGGCTACTGAGGGCGGGGACTGGGAGGGCTGGCCCGGAGGTGCCGGGAGGAGGCTTGCGGCCCAGTGCCCCGGTATGATCACCCTCGCCACCCTGGGCGTACTTTGCAGTTTAGAGTGCGTCTCCCCCAGCCAAGCCTCCCTAGGGAGTGGACAGAGGAGAATGGCTTCCCCTATCCCGAGGGGCCTAGAAACCCGTGAACGCAGGACACAAACGCTCAACCCTGTGCTTCATGCATTCGGAGGTGGGAGAGTTGGCTGGTTTCTCCAGACGTTGTAGTGGCAGTTGTCTGCTCGTCTGTGTTTGCTCTGGGCAAAGGGAACTTGTGGGAGAGTCTAAGGTTGGGCCCAAAAGCAGAATGGCTTAAAAACTGGGATGATGCGGGCGCCTGGGTGGCTCAGTTGGTTAAGCGACTGCCTTTGGCTCAGGTCATGATCCTGGAGTCCCTGGATCGAGTCCCGCATCGGGCTCCCTGCTCAGCGGGGAGTCAGCCTCTCTCTCTGACCCTCCCCCCTCTCATGCTCTCTCTCTCAAACTCTCCCTCTCAAATAAATAAATAAAATCTTTAAAAAAAAAAAAAACAAAACTGGGATGATGCTTTCTCAGTTTAGCGAGTCAAGTTGGGTAGGGTAGTGAGAGTGTTAAAAGAGATGATGAATCTTTAACTGTAGCTGTGTTGTCCTGGTTTCATTTAATAGTTGGTGCGACAGGTGTGTAACTTGATTGAAATGGTCTTCCCCAGATTTACCTGTGGCAGGTTGTTTGTCATTCTGATTTAATCTGTCAGGGAGCTTCTCTGAGCCCGCCATCTAAAGTAACTTTCAGTCATTTGCACATCACATTTCTTTACTTAAAATCATTTTTTTGGTGATTTGCTTTGTAAGCATAGGGACTCTGACCTCATTGCTGTATCCCAGCACCCATAACAAGGTTTGGCACAGAGTAAGTGCCATCAAATATACATTGAAGGAAGGTAAGTGCAGATTTTGTTGAACATTGTTGATGTTGCCTACCATAGAAATGTACGTTTTAGAAATCCGTTGATCCCTCACATAACTTACTGAAGATTTGTATATGGACTGTGGGTTTGTGTGTGTGTTTGTTTTTGTTTGTTTTTTTTTAATGGTTTGCTCTGATTCTGTTCCTTTGAAGCCTCACAGGAAGAAAAAGCCTTTTATAGAGAAGAAGAAAGCTGTGTCTTTTCACCTGGTCCATCGGAGTCAACGAGATCCTTTAGCAGCAGATGAGACTGCACCCCAGAGGGTTCTGTTACCCACACAGAAAGTAGGTCCTGTTCATTAGCCAATAAGTTTGCAGGAGGACTGTCAATAGTTTCTAAATAAATTGGTAGCTGATGTTCTGCAACTACTGTGATCTTTTGGGAAACAAAATCTATGACTTAAATTTTCAGTAAATGTGCCGATTTTTTGTCTTGCATATTGGATTGAGAGGGTAAAGCATCTTTATTGGAGATCTTTAAATGAGCACATCTTGTACAGTAATAGTAAATATTTACTAAAACACTTACAATGCTGCATGATATTATTTAGGGCATATCTCTGCTTTCTTAAGATCCTGTCATTTCAAAACCACAAACTACTGTTTTGTCTCCTCATCATTCATCTCATAAGATGTAAAACATTAGAACTCATGAATTAGCTTCAGAAAATGCCAGGAAGCCTTTAAAAGGTTGATTTGATAATTGTCAACTCTGTAAGTGTGGGAAAATTTGAAAGGAAGTCTTGGGGAACATTGGCCATATTTAGCTTTTTAGTAAAGCCTGTTTGTGTTGTATGTTGAGAAGTTTCTTTGCATATAAATACAAGAAATTGTACTTGATTTTCAAGACCTTTTAGTCTGTTAACCCTCCCAAGTACATGATAAAACAGTGTGTGTGTTTCTTGGCTTGAATTTTTTTTTAATTGAAGTATAGTTAGATATACAGTGTTACATTAGTTTCGGGTATACAGCATAGTGATTTGACAAGTCTATACATTACACTGTGCCCACCACAAGTGTAGTTACTGTCTGTCACTATACAGTACTACTATAGTACCATTGGCTATATTCCCTCTGCTGTACCTTTTATTTCCATGACTTACCCATTACATAAGTGGAAGCCTGTATCTTCTACTCCCTTTCACCCATTTTGCCCATTCCTAACCCCACCCCCACCGCCACCCCCCTCTTCTGACAGCCATCAGTTTTGTTTTCTGTATTTATGGAGCTGTTCTTTCTCTTTTTTAAGATTTTATTTATTTATTTGAGAGAGAGCGCGCACACAACCCAGAGGGAGAGGGAGAAGCAGACTCCCTGCTTGGGCAGGGTGCCCGACGCAAAGCTTGATCCCAGGACCCTGGGATCATAACCTGAGCTGAAGGCAGACGCTTAACCGACTGAGCCACCCAGGCACCCCTGTGGATCTGTTTCTGCTTGTTTTTTTTTTCTTGTTTTAGATTCCACTCTCTGACTTACTTCACTGAGCATAATATCCTCTAGGTCCACCATGTCTCAGATGGCAAGATCTCATTCTTTTTTTTATGGCTGAGTAATATTTGTGTGTGTGTGTATACACACTACATCTTCTTTATCCATTCATCTGTTAGTGGACACCTGGGTTGCTTTCATATTTTGGCTGTTGTAAGTAATGCTGCAGTAAACATAGGAGTCTATATGTGTTTTCAATCAGTTTTCATTTTCTTTGGGTAGATAATGGAATTACTGGATTGTATGCTATTCCTATTTTTAATTTTTTGAGGAATCTCATTCTGTTTTCCACAGTGACATGACCAATTTATATTCCCAGCAACAGTGCACAAGTGTTCCTTTTTTTCCACATCCTCACCGACACTTACTTCTTTTTTCCCTATCTTGTCTTGAATTGTTGCACAGAAATGTCCAGTAGAAGCAGGAATTGTTTCCATTCTATTTAAATTTTATGTAGCACTCGGTTTCAGAAACTTTTCTTTTTTTTTTGAGTTTGTCAAGAATTCTTTGTCTCATTCCTGTCAGCCAAAATGTTCATGTGCCATGTGCGTCCTATTCTGAAAGCTGTGTTCACTGGAAGGTTCCTATGGCTTATGCTTGGAAGAGGTACTAATTAACATTTTGTTTATTATCCTAGATAAACGATGAAGAGAGGCGAGCAGAACAGAGGAAGTATGGAGTGTTCTTTGATGATGACTATGACTATCTGCAGCACCTGAGGGAACCATCTGGGCCCTCAGAGCTTATTCCCATAAGTATTTTCAGTGCACCCGACAGAAGAGACGAAAAAGAGGAAACTTTAGTAATTTCAGTAAGACTTCTTATCAATATATTTGGGAGTGAGTGAAGAAACCACTTATAAATCAAGATAAGTGAGGCAAGAAATGGTATCAATTTCAAGAATACAAAAATAAGCCATGCCCTAGTGTGTGTACGTATGTACCATCAGTAGAGAGTAGGCTGCCTGTTCTCTGGTGGCAGCTGTCAAAAGTAGCCTTTGGGTGTCTGGGTGGTGCAGTCAGTTAAGCATCCAACTCTTGGTTTTGGCTCAGGTCGTGCTCTCAGGGTTATGAGATCAAGCCTCAACTCAGGCACTGCGCTGAGTGCAGAACCTGCTTAGGACTCTCTCTCCCTCTCCCACTCCTCCCTGCTCACATGCACATGTGCATTCTCTCTCTCAAATCTTTAAAAAAAAGTAGCAACCTTACAGGGTTAGAATTTTGATTAATAATTGTGGTCATGTTAGATAGCACCTTTCAGCAGAAGAAAAACAGCTGACATTGTGTGTGTTAACAGCTAATCAGTATCATGAAGTATCTTCTAAGAACTTAATTTTTGCAGAATGTTCAGCTCTTTAACAGTCGTAAAAAGCTGCAGGCTAACTATAAAAGAATAGAAGCAGTAGATTGTAATGAAGTTTCTGTGACTCTTCTCAACCAAAATGCAGTCCCCTTTAATATTTTCTCTTTTAAGTATAAATGAGAGCACATATTTATATGAAATTAACACTACTAATTTAAGTTCTGTTTTTCCCCCATTAATGTTAAAGATGCCCATGTCTTATGCCTTTATCTTTTTATTTAGTGTTAGTATACAGTAAATTTTTCTATGAAACTTTATATTACTTGGCACTTAAAAAAAAAAGAAGATACTCATTTATTGGGTTTATTAACAAAAAAGAAGAGCTAAAAAGGGTACCAATTTCTCCCACTTCTCATTCTCCACTCCTCTTATGGTCTAGGCATTCTTTTTCTCGGGGAAGTATAATCATAGCTTCTCCATATTTATTTAGTTGACAGCGAGAGAGGGAACACAAGCATGGGGAGTGGGAGAGGGAGAAGCAGGCTTCCCGCTGAGCAGGGAGCCTGATGTGGGGCTCGATCCCAGACCCTGGGATCATGACCTGAGCCTAAGGCAGACACTTAACGACTGAGCCCCCCAGGCGCCCCGGGAGAAAAGTCTTAATAAAGTTCTAAGATTCTTCTGGCTGAATTGTATTGGCTTTTGAGAGATTAGCTTTTAATCTTTAATTCATTTTCGGTAAAAGTAATCACTATTTAGTTGGCTTTTTAATAGAATAAGGCTCTTTTTTATTGTTATGTTAATCACCATATATTACATCAGTAGTTTTTGATGTAGTGTTCCATTAGAATAAGGCTCTTTTTTTTTTTTTTTTTTAAAGATTTTATTTATTTATTAGAGAGAGAGAGAGAAACAGCATGAGAGGGGATAGGGTCAGAGGGAGAAGCAGGTTCCCCGCTGAGCCGGGAGCCCGATGTGGGACTCGATCGCAGGACTCCGGGATCATGACCTGAGCCGAAGGCAGTCGCTTAACCAACTGAGCCACCCAGGCGCCCTAGAATAAGGCTCTTAAATGGACACTTCAGTGATGTTTATTATAAGGTTGAGTGAATTATGTTTAAAAACAAAAATGCCCTCTGTTTTCTGTAGCATGATGAAAAAATACGGATGAGTCCCATGTGCTTTTTTGACTTTAATTTGTAGGGGCACCTGGGTGGCTCAGTCGTTAAGCATCTGCCTTCGGCTCAGGTCATGGTCCCAGGGTCCTGGGATCGAGCCCCGCCATCGGGCACCCTGCTCTGCAGGAGCCTGCTTCTCCCTCTCCTGCTTCCCCTGCTTGTGTTCTCTCTCTGTCAAATAAATAAATAAATAAATAAAATCTTTAAAAAATAAATAAATCAATAAAATAATTTGTAACAAACCACCCAAATTGAGTAAACCAGAAATATTGAATAAGCCCTAGAAACAAAATAAAGCAGTACAGAAGTAGTTCTGTTTAAGCAGCCCAATTGTCACAGGAAAGAAAGCAGGTACCGCTGTGGTAGAAAGCAGCTGGGCAAACTCAACAGAGTGCAGAATTACTGCAAATAAAAAACAAATTTTTTTTTTTTTTAAAAGTAGTCCTATCTAAACTCTAATTCTGTATGTGATTCTTTTTTTTTTTAAGATTTTATTTATTTGAGAGAGAATGAGAGAAGACGAGAGGGGGGAGGGTCAGAGGGAGAAGCAGACTCCCTGGTGAGCAGGGAGCCCAATGTAGGACTCGATCCCAGGACTCCAGGATCATGACCCGAGCCGAAGGCAGTCGCTCAACCAACTGAGCCACCCAAGCGCCCCTGTGTACGTGATTCTTTGACTAGTTTTCAAGATTTAAAAAAGATCTCCAGAGGTAAATTCACTAAACACAAGCTGATCCTCCCTTTTTTATAACCCCACATTCCAAAGATAGATAATCACAGAGTATCTTTAAAACAAAGCAAAACAGTGGGGCACCTGGGTGGCTCAGTCGGTTAAGTGTCTGACTCTTGATTTTGACTCAGGTCATGATCTCTCAGAGCTGTGAGATAGAGCCCCACGTGGGGCTGCGAGCTGAGTGTGGAGCCTGCTTGGGATTCTCTCTCTCCCTCTGCCTCTCCCCTCCCTGCTCGTGCATGCGTGCTCTCTTTTTCTCTCTTAAAAACCAGCAAAACCAAATCACATATTTTGTAATTTTTAAAAAGTAATAATGTGATATACCAAAAATCATTAAATCGTGCACTTTAAGTGGCTGAATTGTATGGTTATGTTAATTCTATCTCAGTAAAGCTCTTTTTTAAAAAAAGGACATTATAGTGGAAAACCAGATCTTTCCTATGCTTATGCCACTGAGAAACACACTTTGGAAGCTAAGTTTGCTGGATGTGCACTCCTGTACGTAGCTTTTTAGTCATGCTCCTCAGAGGCTTCCAATTCCGCATGCTCCCATGAGCCAGTAAGAACATACATCTCAGCTTTGTGCCTGCTGCTAGACTGAGGATGAGGTGGGTGGTGAGGTACAAGAGACAGATAACATGTGGTGACCCTCACATTGGTAACTGGTTGAAAAGATCACACTAAAGCATAAGGACCAGTCAGTCAGATAATAATGTGCCAGCACGTATTGAGGTGTATTGTGTATGGTGTGAAGAATGAAGTGATTTACCCGAAGGAAAGTTCTAGAAGAGTGATCAAGAAGGGCTTCATGGAGGAGGGAGGAACTGAACTGGGCACTCAAGGTGGGTTGTATTGAAGACAGGAAGGAAACATTCCAGTCAGAAGGGACATAGGTAGTAGTGTGGATCATAGTGTCTGGTGTATATGTGTGCTCCATAAATTACTTTGAATTATTCCATGATGTGAGGAACTGGATATGATTTACATGGAGGTTATATTATTAAGTAACTAGTAAATTTGGATATATGGAATAGTAAGTAAGCCTTGATTTTACTGACTGTGAAAATCAGGAGTGAAAAATCAAAACCTGTTAGAAGTTCAAGAAGGTCACATTATAAAATAATAAAGGAGTTTTAATATGGAAGTGATACAAAGGTTGGATTAGGTGTGGACTATCTAAACAGTGGTGGTAGTAATCTGTGTGTTGGTTAGCCATGAGTAAGATGGTGCCCGAAAGACTGATGGGCAATCTTGGTATACAAGAGAATTCAAGGGCTATAGAGATGGAGAGAAATGATTTATGACCACCCCAGGATTTAAGGTGGCCAATTCAGAGAAATGCTGTGCCTTTACCAGAGATTGGCGTGTTATCTCATTTTAAGAGGGAAAAGATTAAATTTTGAAACTTGAGGCATTGCCAAACCTGGATTTGAATCCCAGGACCTGAGTTGCCAATTTGAGGCAGGCATGGCATTTGACCTTTCTTAGCTTTTGTTGACTACCGCATGCTGATATCTCACAAGGATTAAATGGAATAATACGCTGGAGGAGGCTTTGTGAAATATTCCAGGGAAACTGCTTGTGAGAGGATGATGGGATATACAGGTTTCAAATATTTTACTGGAGTACAAGTGAGCAAGAAGGCAGGACTTAGTTGTATTCGTTTTCCTAGGACTGCTATTACAAATTACCACACCTTACCACTGGGTGGCTTAAAACAACAGAAATTTATTCTCTCACAGCTCTGGAGGCCAGAAGTCTGAAAGTAAGCTTTCAGGAGTGTTGCTTCCATTGTGGGGGCTCAGGGCAAGAACATTGTCCCTCACCTGTCTCGTTGTTTTTGGTGGTTGCCAGCAATCCTTTGTGTTCCTCGGCTTGTAGATCCATTTTTCCAGTCTGCTCTCATCTTCACATGGCATTCTCCCCCTGTGTATCTTTGTGTCATCATGTGGCCTTGTTACAGGGACACACCTATCTTTATGAATTAGGGCCCACTGTAATCCACTGTCACCTCATTTTAACTAATTACATATGCAAGGATCCTGTTCCAGAAGGTCACATTCTGAGCTGCTGGGGGGACATGAATTTTGCCGGGGACACTTCAACTCAGTATAGTAGGTCAGAAGTACTTCTTAATCTAACCATTGTGTAATTTCTCTTTCAAGACCACGGGAATTAAGTTGCCTTCATCAGTATTTGCATCAGAGTTTGAGGAAGATGTTGGATTGTTGAATAAAGCAGCTCCTGTTTCAGGTGTGCTTGATTTCTTGAACTTTCAAGTGACTTGATCTGTATTTAACAAAAAGGAAAGCATAGTAATGATAAAGCTTTTCTCTTTCTAATAAAGTGTTAAAACAGTTGAGATGTCTGAATTCAGATTAGAGGTCATTAGGAAGGGATGAGTGATCGGGGTCCTTTTTTATTGCCATCAAATTCTTAGTCTTTGGAGTTTCTGTTTGGAGAGGAAAGTGGGAAAATCGGTTTTGAAGATCTAGTAGGGGAATTTTAACCTTGACCTAAACTCTTGCAGAGGAGATGAGGATATTCACTTAGCCTTAACATACATATAGACTTAATCATTTCTTCCAAGAGTATAAGTATTTTATAGAAGTCCATTTTATCATCTGTTCCAGATACACTGAAAAATTGTTTGGGGTTTTGTTATTTGGATTTTTTGCAGTATTAATACTGTATTTTAGAACAAACACAGAAATGATGTTTGGTATTTTCTCTTGAATTGCCTTAATTATTAACCAGTATTTGCCACGTAACATTCATTCATTTATTCCTTCTGTAGATTTTTGAGTTGCCACTATATGATGGGGTCTTGAGTTAAATCCGATTAAGCATAATCCCTGACCTCAAAGAATTTATTGTCAGTTGGGAAGGATAGACAATAAATAGGAAATTACAATTACAGTACGAATGAGTAAATAATGGTTTAGTTAATAGTGGGCAAGGTGTCCTGGAGAAAATGGTGTCTAAGTTGATTTCTTAGGTAGAAGGTAGGTAGGTGGGTAAAGGAGGGTGGGGTGGGGAGGAGAGGCTATTTCAAACAGGAAACTGTATGTGCAAAATTGAGAGAACATGAATAGGAAACCACATTTTAGCATGCCTAGAATGAATGGTAAGAATTAACATGAAATGAGTCTGGAGAATCAAGCAGTGGCCATGTTATGAGGGATGTTGGAAGCCATGTCAGTTTACAAGGTTGAACTTGAAGTTTTTTGTGGACTCTCTTTTTACACGCAAAAGACCATAGCTGAAGAAACAGGTTTAGGATTTATTAAATCTCCTAGGCTGGAAAGACAGTTCATCAGGCTACACATGCTTAATTTGAGTTACTTCTAACAGGTAAATTTAAAGCCCAGATTTTTCCTGCAGGTGAAAACCTTGAATTTTACTAAATAGACACAGTTTAATATTGCAGATCTATAATGCAAGAGTTTTTACAATTGGGTACTGAAACCAGAGTTATTTTTCCCCCTATTTTATTTTCTTGCAGTCGTCCCTGTCTGTTCCTCACTAGACCAGACTTGAAGTTTTTAATCATTTTTTAATTCTCAATACATAAGTAGAATGTGGCATATGATAGCTACTCAAATTGTGTTAAGTAAAGGAATTATGTTTTCTTGGGAATTACTGCTCAATTTTTGTTTTCCTTCTAGGACCTCGGCTGGATTTTGATCCTGACGTTGTCGCAGCTCTTGATGATGATTTTGACTTTGATAATCCAGACAATCTGCTTGAAGATGATTTTATTCTTCAGGCCAATAAGCCAACAGAAGAAGAGGGAACGGATATACGGTATGTGTGGTTTCTTTCGAATCAGGGATGACCTGACTATTGCTTATTCAGTAGGATGTACCTATAGAATGTTATAACTGGAACAGACCTTTGAGAGCATTTAGTGTTAGATTTTTGTATTTTAGAGCAGAAAATGTGAAACTTGAGGTCTTTACAAACCAACAATAGGTGGGGCTAAAGTCCAGGTTGCCTGATTGCTGGTTCATTACTTTTCCAGCCCTACCAGACAGGTCAAGCAGCACAGCTGTTACTGCCTAAACAGGAATCCAGTATTTCAGCCCTCAAATTTTACTTGTGTAAAGTCATTTGGTTCTGTTGTTTCTCAAGTTGTTTTGACAGTTAATTTATGACTCTGACTTAGGAAATCTGAGGCCGAAGATGACAGTGAGTGGGAAGACATGGATGATGAGAAGGAAGGAGGTAGTGATGACGATAACTATGGCTCTGCGGGCTCATCAGATGAGGCCATGTCTGTCCCTGGAAAACCTCCCGGGACTGTAGAAAATCACTTATTCTGGGAAGAGGAGACGAAAAGTCGCTTTACTGAATATTCTTTAACATCCTCAGTTATGAGGAGAAATGAACAGCTGACTCTTCATGATGAGAGATTTGAGAAGGTAAGGTCCCCAAATAAGGGGCCTTTTAATACTAGTTCCTGGTAAATTTCATATGACCTTAGAACTCAAAGCCAGAACTTTCGGCATTAGAAAGAGCTTATGTCTTATTAGAACAGACCATAAAACCATCCTAGCTTTAGTTCTGGAAAGAATGCATATAGGTCAGAGATGGCTAATGGAATCTCTGGACTTTCCTCAGAGAGGTTTGACATTTTGATTCTGAACCTCAGACTCCAATCCCCAAGATTATGCTGTTTTCCTAAAGCATTGGTCTGAGCATAAACAAAATTCCATTGCTTTCAGTTTTTTATATGTGTTTCCTCACTGACATATCCCAAGGTCTAACATGGTGTCTGGCATATGATAGGAATTCAAACTATTCAGTAAATGATGAATGAATGAATGAATGGTTTCCTTCAAGGTGAATTTAAAAGGTTCTAACTTTGCTACCTTTTCACTAAGTACTAGCAGGCAAACTATTACAAATAACTTCACTCTTCAGGAGTCACACACCCTCTGTTTACCCTTAACAGCATTCTAGTAATATAGTAAACATCATCTAAACAATGAAATTTGTATTTATTTTTATTTATTTTTTATTTTTTTAAGTAGGCTCCATGCCCAATGTGGGGCTTGAACTCAACCACCCTGAGATCAAGAGTTGCATGTCCTATCTACTGAGCCAGGCAGGCACCCCTGAAATATGTACATTTAAAGGAGACTGTTCAGTTATATGGTCTTTTACTTTGCATAATTAGTGAATTTGAAAGCATCTGTAAAATATTCTAAGGTAAAGATTACTACTTAGCTTTGCTTTCCAAGCTGAGCAGAACGATTGTCTTTCATTTTCCTATTAAATGGCAGCCTATTTTTGGGGTGCCTGGGTGGCTCAGTCGCTTCAGTGTCTCTGACTCTTGATTTCAACTCAGGTCACCATCCCAGGGTTGTGGGCTCAAGCCCTGTGTCCTTTGCACTCAGCAGGGAGTCTGCTTGAGATTCTCTCTCCCTCACCCTGCTTCCGTTCTTTCTTTAAAATAAATAAATTTTGGGGGGGGCGCCTGGGTGGCTCAGTTGGTTAAGTGACTGCCTTCGGCTCAGGTCCTGATCCCGGGGTCCTGGGATCAAGTCCCGCATCAGGCTCCCTGCTTGGCAGGAGTCCTGCTTCTCCCTCTCCCACTCCCCCTGCTTGTGTTACCTCTCTCTCTCTCTGTCAATTAAATAAATAAAATTTTTTTTTAAAAAAATAATTT